GGCAAGCTGCCCTGCAGGTACGTTGGCCGGCGGGAAATTGCCCCCGCGGCCGCCGCCTTGCCCACGGCTTTCGTAGGGGCGAGGCCCGTAGCCGCCGTAGCCCCGTCCCCCATCGTTGCGCCCCTGCATCTGCCCCCCAGCTCCGGGTCCTGGCCCACGCGGCGGCCCCTGAGGCGCATGAGGGTGGCCCTGGCTCCAGCCCGCACCGTGTTGGAATTGGTACGACTGCTGTACTGATGGACCACCAACCCGCCCCAGGTTCTGCGATCCGCCTCGTGGATGAGCGGCCGCCTCGGCGTCCCTCCTGCCGCTCAAGTACGCGCTGATCTCGTTGTAATTCGCCAGGAACTCGCTGCGCAACTTGTGACAGTCAGCGGTCGCGTGCGAGGTGTTGGGCCCGTGGTACTGGCAGATGTACGGTCCCAGCTGCTGCTGCTGCTGCTGCTGCTGCTGCCGCTGCTGCTGCTGCGGTGGCTGCATCGACGCCTGTGGCTGCTGCTGCTGCTGCTGCTGCTGCGGTCCGCCGTGACCCATGCCGACAATGGGTGGTCTCCTCTGCCCGCCGCCCCGGCCCATGCCGGCAGCGACGAGGGCGTGCCTCGTCTCCTCTCCTCTCTCTCCAGACCTCCGCTCGTACCTCTGCTCGTGCTCAGCCGTCCTCAACGCCTCCTGCATTTGTGCACTCGACAACATGGGGTGAAAAAGGACACGCTCTTTAATTTTCTCAAATTCTGGCAAAAAACCCCGAGCGATGTGCTTGCACATGGACACTTCAGCACGATTATCACCGTATGACACCAGTCTCATCCAAAGCGCCTTAGCTCTACCAAAGTAGTCCATCAAACTTTCTCCATTCCTCTGACACAGCACATTCCACTGATCATCAAACGTCTGTCTTTCCTCGTTTATACTGCGTCGGTAGTAGTCCAAGAAAATTTTGTACCCGGCTTGCGGACTCTCCGCTGCGAGCAATTGCCCTTGAATAGATTGTGCCGTGATCTTCGACAGCATGAAAATCCATACCTTCCTAGACTGCTTTACTCTCTCCTCACCAAACGAACGTTTCATCCAATCCACATTCACTTGAGCTGCAGCTACAGGAATCTCTGGGCCTCTCATTGCGTCAACCACTCCCTCGTTCTCCATCCACGCTTCAAACGCACTCGTGAAAATCCGCAACGCAACCTCCATCGATCGATTTTTGAGGAAATCATCACTCCAAACAGGGACCTCGACTTTGTCCCGCTGTTTCAACTCTACTGTCTGGGCGCTAGACGTGCCTGAATGGGCACGATGCCCCTGGTCCTGGGAGTTTGCCGTGAAAGCATGCTTGAGAAGGTCGACCAGCTGACGCATCGAGTCTTGCTGATCTCCCCCCGCCGCCGCTCTCCCTCCCAGATTGTCTTGTTCTTCTGCATCGGCGGTGAACGAATAGTTGGTTCCTCCATCGCCGGTGCCTTCTCCCGGGGAAGGATCACCATGACCTTGTCCCCCCGGAGGCTGTCGTCCGTCTCCATCCGGCATCTTGCGCGCGTAGACACAGCGGCCACTCTCTTGATCGAAACGCTAGCGAGTTGAGTAGCTTTGTGCGTGGGTGCCTCGGCGCGGGGTCCCGTAGTGGGAAACAAAAGGTGCCAGCAGCTGGGTACTGCCAACGGTCAAAATGTAGAAACTATCCGCGGGCGTGAAAGCCCTTCTACGTGGTGGAGCGTGGAAGCTCGTGTATAATATAGTTGTGGCGTGGAAGCCGGGTGGCGTGGTGGCCCTGATGTAAAGGTATATTTAGGGACGTGGGAGTCCTGAAGGCGTGGAAGCCGGGTTGGCGTGATAGCCGGAGTATGGGCGTGGAAGCCGGGGTTGGCGTGAGAGCCGGAAAAAGGACTTGATTATACACAGAAAAAGGAAGTGAGGAACCACAAGCCACGCACACAAATTCCGTTGTAGACACCCATACCCTCAAACCTGCAATATGTGATAAAGTTGGTACCACCAAATCTAATCCATAGCAACCATTGAACCCCCAAACTCCCCGCTCCATCTGCTCGGGAAATTCTTGCTCGCAATAATCTGTTGATGCTGTGAGTACATCCAAC